TAGATGGATGCCTGAATCGGACATATGAGATGAGCCCTAAACCCCTCGTTCTTTGCGTGAAGACCAGATGCGCTCTTAGCTGCCTTTCAAGATGCCAAATCGTTCTCAACTTTCATTGGTTTGGCGGGGCTCTTCATCTATCAATCGAAGGTTAGAGTTGGCTTCATTGCTTGGTTTTGGAAGACGGGAGAGATCTCAGATCAGGTTCAACCTCAAGTGAGTCATCATAGGGTCTTGCTTTGAGGAACGGACAGACCAGACAGTCGTGACTTTCTTTCTCGCCTCTTTCTCTTTATTGCCTGAGCCCGGGCTTCAAAGTCAGAGCCTTCCCTGCTTCACCCATTCATTGCCATCAACCGGCTGTTCGAGCTCATCAATCAAGACGGCGGGGAACTTAGATGATTCATCTTAGTATGCCGGGTATGTCGTTGCCCAAGGTCCTTTCTAAGAGATCAATCTAAGGGTAGAAAAAGAAGAGAATCAGACTTCGGTGAGTGCCGCTTGCTGTCAGGCCATCGGCTCCTATCACTTTGTTCGATTGAAACCCTTTTCCTCTTTTTCTAGCGGTTTCACTCCTTTATAGGTATAGGTCGGAACTCCGGAACTAAAGACTTTCTCAATCAGACAGGATAGATAGATTGAGTGCGCCTTGCCTTCTATACTATACGACTAAGGCCTTGTCACGAGCTGGACTCGAACCAGCACCTCTGGGTAAAGCACACACATACCGAGAGATGCTGTCTTACCAAGGGCAAAAGGAAAGGTGAAAGGTACGAAAGTAGGAAAGCAACAACCATATATTATATGGATTCCCTAGAGAGATTTCTAAAGTCTTCGTGCAAGAGACGATTCGTTGAATTCTCTTAGTCCCACTTCCCACAGGAATTGAAGAGTACGCAAGCACATTCATTGATGCAGCGAATGCAAGCTCCTGGTGGAAGCTTTTCCATGAGATTCCCCAGCTACTGCTATCGAATCCCCTCTTTTCGCTTTTCGCAAGTGAATCAGAGCTGGAAAGGTCTATCCGATGTGGGACTGATGACTTTCCTGGATTGGATTCCTTGCTTGCATTCCTTATTGGAATGGAAGTAGGAGGCTTCAATCAATTCTCCGGGCGAAGACTAGCTTTTGCTTTCCTTTTGGAGGAAGGATTGGAGGAATTAATCCAATGCGGGTCCAGGTAGGAATCAAGGAATTTCACCTTGATAAAGCCTCTTACCTGTTTCCGATCCGATTACCGATTTATAGGATTAACCAGAAGAGAAGGAAGTTAGGACCGGCTGAAAGAAGGACAGCGGGGAAAGTTCTCTAACTTGGGAAAAACCTTCGAATCCGTCTTTTTTGGACGGAAAGGGCGAGTAGAACGGGCGCGAAAACTAAACCTTCCTTCTTCGGCCTAAACTGAGATAGTTAAATACGAATGACTACTTGTGAAGTACCATGGAATTGGGGGGCATGGCACTAACACTCAACTCAAACAAACTATTCAAGACCAGATCAGCAAAGGAAACATACATGTTGAAAACGATGAGGCATCTACGAGCGAACGGTTAGGCAAGACTACGGCGCCTGGGTAAACATCCCCTTTACCAACCAAACAAGATGTCGAGAGTGTTTTGGAGAAGTACGGTATCCTAGCGAAGGACCTTTTTTTAAGGTATGTGCCAGAACTGCCTTCCATCCCTATGGAGGTGGCCTGAATTGGCGTCCTTTCCGGTCTTCATCTCCGGTGAAAGGTGATAAGGCCTTAGTGGGCCGGACTCCCTTCCATCGGATGATTTGGGAGCTGTTTGCGATCGCTTTATGGGATTGCGCGGTTCTCAAGGGGTTAAACCCCAAGGATCCGGATAGGGCGGCGAAAGGGGCTTGGCCATTTGAAGGTTGGTTCCTTTACTGGAGCTCTATCTTTATACTGACTCTGTTTAGGGAATTATTTCTGCCTAAGACCTTCTATCCTTGCGAGATCACAAGTGATGAGGATCGGTCTCTTCCTGTCCTCCCTGTGAAGGTTGCAGAGTTACCTTAGGATTCCTTTAATAATGAACGGCAAAGTCATTTTAAAAGCAATTGGTTCGTTCAGTTGGTGCAGCTAGCGCTATAGTTAGTAAGGCAAGAAGGTAAGGAGTTAGTTTACAGCGTCGAAGTCTGAAAGCAGAAGGCTAGGAAGACCGGAAAGCCGGGAATTGGCTACATACACCGGAAACCCGAGATCGAAAGAGTAAGGACTGAGGTGCGTAGCGAAACTTTTGAAGCCAAAGCCCTTATTAAAGGCAAAAAGGGCGGCAAGGGCAAAGGCCTCCTATTCCTCTAGACAGGACAGATGGGATTCTTGCTTCCATATGCCACCCGCTGAAACTCTTCTTTGAATGCCCAAAGAGAAAGCTTATAGGTGAAATTGATTGATGAAAAGATCGTCTTCTGCATTCGATGCTTCCTGTACTTCCCCTGCTTCCTTTAGCAGCGGAAATGCAGACATCTAGCACATAGAAGAGCGGATTCGGTTCCTATTCCTTATTAGATGAGATGAGATGTCAGTTCCTTTCGTGCAACCTGCTCTTGCATATGCAGTTGGTGTCCTTAGTCAATTTATGTACTCTATACGTATCCCTCATCTCGAAGCTGAAAAAAGAATTCTGCGGTATCTTAAGTCGTCTCCTGGAAAAGGTATTTGATATGCCTCTAATAGACATCTTCTTATTTCTGTCTATGAAGATGCAATGGGAATTGAGGTTGACAAGACCAAAGGAGCTAATGAACCACCTGCTGAAATTCTTGAGGAAGTTGAGAGGTTCCAGACTAGATCTTTACCAAACATTGAACAAACTGAGACCTGTGGGAACCGAGGCAAACCACCGAGAGTGACAAGGGCAGGATGAAGCTCTTCACCGAAAAAGGATCTGATCAGATTCCTCACAGAATATCAAGATGTCTTCGCCTGGTCAAATGAGGATATGCCCGGATTAGACACCAAGATTGTGGTGCACAAGTTGCCAGTCATGCCAGAATTCTCACCAGTAAAGAAAAAACTCCGAAGAAGTCGTCCAGAATGGAGTCTAAAAGTGAAAATCATCAAACAAAAAAAGGCCAAATTCATCGTCGTCAGCACTTATCCAATCTGGCTCTCTAATGTTGTACCGGTGCCCAAGAAAGATGGCCGGGTAAGGGTTGGACTACCGAGACCTAAATCGGGCCAGTCCCAAAGACGATTTCCCCTTGCCACACATCGACATTCTGGTCGACAATGTCGCGGGCCATGAAATGTTCTCCTTCATGGATGGATTCTCAGGATACAACAAAATTTTGCTTGATGAAGAAGATCGGGAAAAGACAGCGTTCACTACACCATGGGGTACCTTCTGCTATCGAGTCATGCCCTTTGGACTCAAGAATGCTGGGGCAACCTACCAAAGGGCCATGATCACGCTCTTCCATAACATGGTACACTTTGAGATGGAAGTTTATGTAGATGATATGATTGTCAAATCTCGAAATAACGAAGACCATCTGGTGAATCTTGCAAGAGTTTTTAACCGACTCAGGAAATACAAGCGTAGGCTTAACCGAGCTTATAATTAGGCTTTGGACTTACTTCAGGCAAGCTTCTGGGCTTCATAGTAAGCAGACGAGGAATTGAGATCGATCCAGCAAAGATCAAAGCAATTGTAGAGATGCCTCCTCCCCAGAATCTCAGGCAAGTCCAATCATTCTTTGGACGGCTCAACTACATCAGCAGATTCATCGCCCAGCTCACTCATACCTGCGAACCTCTCTTCAAGCTGCTACGCAAGAATACATCCATGGAATGGACTCCAGAATGTGATGAAGCCTTCCAAAAGATAAAAAAAGATCTTCTAAACCCATCGTACCGCCGGAACCAGGCCGGCCACTACTTCTTTATCTATCCATGAAGGAGACCTCCATGGGAGCTGGGGCAAGATGATAAGAGTGGCCGCAAAGAACAGGCCATATATTATCGTTCAAAGAAGTTTCATCCCTACGCGAGACCATATACTCCTTCCTGGAAAGAACATGTGCTGGTTTGGTATGGGTCACAACCAAGATGCGCCATTACATGCAGTACTAGAAAACTCTCCTGATTTCCAGAATGAATCCCAAAAAGTACATCTTCGAAAAGCCCGTGACGAGTGACAGATTGGCTAAATGGCAGATGATTCTGTTCGGTAAGAATATGACATATTTTATGTAACTCAGAAGGCGAGGTTTTAGTGATTGAATTAAAGCAGATAGGCTAGCTGATCAATCTCTGGATGAGTATTCACCAGTAAATACAAAGTTCCAGATGAGGGAATACTATTTGCCATGAAAGAAGATGACTGCAGATGGTATCCTGGCTTTTTTATTTACTTTTTTGGAGCCTCCAATGCTAAAGGAGCAGGAGTTGGCGCGGTACTGGTATCCGAAACAGGGGCACAATATCCCGTCGTTACCAAGCTAAGATTCGAATGTACAAACAAGATGGTTAAATATGAAGCTTGTATCCTAGGATTAAGGGCGGCCTTGAGCATAAAGATTGAAGACCTTTTAGTATTCGGGGATTCGGACTTGATCATACACCAGGTTAAAGGGGATTGGCAGACCCGAGACGAAAAACTTCTTCCTTATCACCGTCACCTGGTCCACTTGAGCCAGATGTTCGACAGTATTGAGTTTCATCACATCCCCATAACTCCTCCAGCTGAACATGGACATCAGTTTATCCTGGTAGTCATTTCTTATTTCACCTTTTGGATCGAGGCAGCATCCTACAGAACTGTTCCAGAAGCTAGAGTAGTGAAATTTTTCAATCCCAACATAATCTGTCGATATGGGGTTCCTCACGAAATCATCACAGATAATGCGCCGAACCTGGACAGTGCCATGATGGACAGAGTTTGCCAACAATTCAAGATCACTCATTGCCTGCCCCCAGGAGACCTAAGACGAACGGAGCAATAGAAGCAGCAAACAAGAATATCAAAAAGATTCTGGGAAAAAAATGGGAAAAGGCTATAAGTAGGCCGTTTGCTATTGCTGCTATAAGGGCTGCTCGCCTTTATACGGCTTGGCTTCGCTATCGCTCCTATGTATGTAGTGGTCGGCCTAATAAGTAGTCTTTTGACTATCGAAGAATGCTTATTATCTAGTTCTAGAAGCTTCGCCAGAAGCAAGCAAGCCGAGGTCGCTCTGCTTCGTAGACAAGGCTCGTTCCGTACTTGACTTACGAGCTCGTGTAGTACTCCCCCCTATCTCTAAAGGGGCTTATGCACTCCACTCGCTGTCTCCTAAACGAGCGTTAGAGCGAGCGAGTGAAGCCTTCAATTTAGTGGCTCCCCCCCTTTCCCTCATCCTATTCTTTCATGTCTACTTAAGCTTCCCCGGATTGGGGGATTAATTGATTGGATACCCGAGAACCATAATCTTTCCTAGGAACAGCTTCGACGACGATAGATAGGGGTCAGGTTTGTTTGGCATCTATGCCCCCTGCCCTCCAAACAGTATGGGAGCCTTTCAGCTCGTACTGCTCACACTCCTAGATCTTCACGGCACCTCTTCCACCATAGTTTGAGCTGGGAGCAGCTCCGAAAAGCGAGGCCTACTTCCAAATTCTTCAAGTCAACCCACGAAAAAAGTAAACTATGGTTGCCCACTGATCTGATCATAGGTGAAATCCAATCCCTTCGCTTCGCGCCAGGCTTGGAAACCGTAAGTCAGGCTCCCTTCGCCTCTCGGAAGCGAGAAAGCGAGCAGCAAGCTGAAAAAGCCCTTTCCCCTTTCTCTAATAGTTCTTGTTGGTAAGCTTCATAGCTCCAACCTATACAAGGGGCAAGCCAAAACCAGCTGAAGGAAGGGCGGCCCCACCCTGAAACAAAGGTGTACGTACATAAAATAAATAAAGAGACAGGTTATGGCCTTTACTTGATGGGGCTCCTTCCCATCTATCTTGACCGGGAAGAGGGGGGAGGCTCTTGCGGAAGCCCTGCCCGCCCTTCTCTATTTTGAGGGATCCCTCATATTGAGGATTCCAGGCTTCCCAGATTCGTAACAGACGGCTAGGAACAAGAAGAGGGTTAGTAGTCTCTGCCGTTGCAGGTCCTTCTCCTCCCGATGAGACGGCCCTCTTTTTTTTTTTGTTTTGTTTGTTCACCGCGGCACGAAATCATGAAGAAGCTGGAATAACTCAGAAAGAGAGTGGGGCCTAGCCGTTGAGAGCGTCTGTTGTTTTTGTAGAGGAACAGTACGATCTTGGACTGGCCCCCTTCGCATGACCTAGAAAGAAAAAGAAGTCCGTGCTACTATAAGGCCTCTAAACTCCTCCCTCAGGACACTGTTGCCTTGCCCATGGGGACGGGGTAGCCCCGACTTCCATAGGTCCTTGGTTCGACCTCCTAATGAGAATTGAGGTCCTTGCGCGGGCGTCTCATCCCTAAGACTTGCTTGCTCTGTATGGAGTGCCCCGTGGTTCCTCGAGTGCCAGCCGCAGAAAGGAATGCCATCAACTAGGGCGCTATTGGCCACTAACCACTCGCTTGCCGGCCGCTCGGGCTCCGCGTTTCAAGTTCGTTATCCTAACCGTCTCCTCTGCTCCACCGGGAGCCTGGCCCCTTCTTCTATCTTATCTACTGCCTTGCTCCTCGGCTCCCTACAGCTCCAGCCGCTGGCTGTAATAGCTTGCTCTTCTCGGGTGGCTCGCACCGGGGGTGGTGCGGCTGAGCCAGAGTGGGCTCAGCAGTCGGCCTATGTTTCCGGGCGCACGCGTAAAGGCATGATTAGTTCCACAAATCTCACTGCACTGACCATAGTAAACTCCTTCTCGTTGTACCGAAATAGAGATCTGATTTAAACGACCAGGTACAGCATCACATTTGACACCTAAGGAAGGTACAGCCCAACTATGAGGTACATCAGCAGATGTTACAAGAATACGTAGATGAGTTTTGGCTGGTACAACCACTCTATTGTCCACTTCTAATAAACGTGATTGCCCCAATTCTAGATCATCTTCTGGAATCGTATAACTGTCAAAAGTGAGTGACTGCTCATCGGAACTGTTATAGTCTGAATACTCATAAGTCCGATACCATTGATGTCCAATAGCTTTGATAGTAATGGCTGGATCTACTACTACCTCGTCCATTGAGTATAAAAGAGCAAATGATGGTATAGCAATGAACATCGGGATGATACTAGGAAATATGGTCCGAAGAATCTCGATAGTAGTTCCATGAACAATCCTTTGCGGGATTGGATTTTTTTTATAGTGGAAATGCCATAAAGCGCGAACCAAGATCCGTGATACGAAAACCAAAATCAGAATGAGGAAGAAAAAGATATCATGATGTAAGTCGATTATTCCTTGCATCATAGGTGTTGCTGCGTCTTGAGATCCTAATTGCCATGGTTCCGCTGCATCACAATAGCTCCTTCTGAGGAATACATCACAAGTGAGGAATACCCCACAAAGAGAAATTGGAATTGGTAACCAGAAAATGACACTTTTAAAAATTTGGACAAGGACAAAAGGTGGAAATTTTTGAAACATATTGATGGATTGAGAGAAAAAGGATTCCCGGAAAGAAAGAGATTCCTTCCTGTAGGACTAGTTATGAAATAGAAAGAATTTGGGTTGGTTGTTGACCAACGAAAAGAATGGGAGAAAGATGCATAAAGAAGTGAAGCTCGACAACAACACGAGAAAGGCCAGTCACGGAACACATACTATATTTCGCATGTCTTGCAAGAGACGATTCGATTCACAATTCAACAAAGGGTCTACCACTTTCTTTCTCTATCTTTAGATACGCAATTTCCCCTATTTAATGAGGAATGGGGAACTAAGGAAGTGTAGCGCCATCAGTGAGCTCGAACACCACTCTACGCAATTTCATTTGCGAAGAAAATAAATGAATGGGATTATCGAATATATATCAACCATTCCTTCTATCTTATCTTGATTTGATTGCACTTTTTTCGCACTTAGGAGAGCTATTATATTAAGAGCTTTCGTGGAAAGCGCTCTCGGACGGCATTATCTATAAAAGGATTCCATGAGGTGAAAGTTCGAGGGCCGGTTCACTCGAATCGAATCCAGGCAGACGTATACCTTAGTTGCTGCGACGGTAATGTCAGTTGCACTTTCATCATGGCGAGAGTGGAAATTCGCTCCGTTTTTGGTCTCACGTGTGCTTTCATGTCTGTCGTCGGGCCGATATTTAGGTTGTGGCCAGCCACCTTTGTAGCTCCTGTATAGTTGTGATCCCCGCATCCCTCTTCGACCTCATTGAATAGCGTGTACCATTTGTTCGTGGAGCCTTAGTGGGAAAAGAGGATAGGCGGGACAGACTCTGACTCGTACAGCCCACTGGTCCAGGGCATGGAGCATACTATTTTACAAGCAGCGGAAAGAAGTTAGCCGGCTAGCGCACTTCGGCCACTCAAGGTAGCCCCCTATCGAACGCATCTCTCAGATAGACTTGTTTTTCCCTGTAGGCCGACAGCTCCCATCCCATCAGTCACCTTTCGAAGCTCTTTCCCAGTCAGCCCTCAGGTCAATGGGCGATATAGAGTGAGGCGCCTATAGGGAGAGTTCCCATTATGTAATATAAAAGTTTTGCGAACCAATCATTCACTGACTTCAGACCAAGCCAATCATCATTTGGCATCAGACAACTACCGTTAAGTCTGTCATCCGCCATAAACAAAAAGAGGGGGTACAAAGCTACCCTATTACGATCTCCTTCACGCTAAGGGGATTGGCGGATGCTACAATACAAAGAAATCGGTCGAACTCAAGCATTTGGTTTGACAAAAGCAATGGCTCTTTCCTACTTGCTTGAGGGACAGCCGATTCATATTACTTACTTGTATTCTGGTTGGATTGGGCGCTTGGTGGTAAGAGCCCCTACTTGAAAAACCAACAGCTTGCTGCTCACCATCATACGCGTGCGCTATAAAAGAAGCCGCACAACGCCCTTCCTCTTTCTAATCCTTTTGGATGATAAGGCATGCCTATCCATGTTTTATCCAGCCTTTGCTCCACTATCAACCACCGGAATGGTTATTTTGCCTGCCCCGCTTTCCTCTCCCGCGGCAAGAGCTCGTTCGCCAAGTCCGAACTCCCACTTTCTCGTCGATGACGGCTCTCTTCGATGCTAGCAACCGCCTTTGACCCTTTTCCGCTTCTTTCCATTTCCAACCATTCTACCTGAACGAGAGACTTTACCTTTACTTAGAGAGGGGCAGCGGTACCACGCTCTTCTGTGCTCGTAGGTTGACTCCCCATCCCGACTAAGGTCTCACAAACGTGCACTTCCCTTATGTTATGCATCCAGCCGCTTCACTAATGTGAATAGGTTATACAGAAGGGTGGGTTGGTTATCTACTCTTATGCGCCTTCCTTCTTCGAACCTTTTGGTATGTATTGCCCCCTAACTATAGATCAGATCCACCGGACGATAAACTCAATTCCGCACTGCTGCTGAGTCGTCGGACTTATCCACCAAGGGATTCGTGGAATTTCTGTGGATTGCGTTGGGGGAAATCTACCAAAGCTAGGCAGATAGATAGACTCCTTTCCCGCTGCTAAGGGAGAGCAAGAAACAAAATCAAATGATTGTTTTTTAATCAGCGCCCCCTTTTGGGTATGCAGGTACTATTAGTCCTCTCACTACCAACCAGCAGACATCATCTGGCTGGGTCTTGCCGGTATCAACAACGAGAAAAAAAACAACCAAATGGAAACAGCAACTAACTATGGCTCTTGGCCCAGACAACGTCCTAGGCGTAGGGGGGATCGGAGCAAGAGGGAAGTCCTAGACGACGTTTTTCTTCCTGGGCTGCAGTAAGTAGATCGAGAGGTCGTTCCGCCCCTTGTCCCCGAAGATGGGTAATCTGTTCTCAAAAAATGTTGCTCCAATCTGACCTAGCTGGCGAGCGATCCCAGTTCGCGGCAGAGAACAAGACAGCAAGCGAGCGTACCTTTGTTCGCTTCTTCTCCACCAAGCACGGAAGTTTAAGGATAACTGTAGGTCGGTGGCTACCTAAGGAAACTCCGATTCGATCTTCCCCCCGGCTGGGAGGCATCTACCTGATCCCGATCACAAGGAGAGGTTCACCATGATGGGGGGTACTTTTTTTTTCCCTTCCGGAAAGAATGAAATGCATAGGGGACCATCCTTTTGTTGCGGCATGCTCTTCAGATTTACGGATTCGCAGGGGGCCTCAGGCCCTACTTAGTTGACTGACAATGACAAAGGCTTGCGAAAGTAGGGCCTTTTCTTTTCCTTTTTGAATAACCCATTCTCATTATCTTTCATAAGTCAAGTAGGCGAACCTATAGGTCCTTAGTAGCGTTGACAAAGAAGAACAGCCGGTTAAAAGACAGCGAATCTTATATATATATTCAAAAGATATCTATATCTATCTAGATAGATATTCTAAATAGTTAGTTAGGCCAGCTTGACAGGCTACCCTTCCTCATCTGAGGTGCTCAGAGAAAGATCTCTTTTTTAGAACTTCCAAAACTTCATCCCGGCCCGGAAAAGTGACCGACCAGGGCCCTTTTGATAAATGAAAGAAAGGGTTGTTGAGCCCTAGCCCTGTAAGCCCACACCTGTGTAGAGTAGATCGTTCAACACCTCCGGCACAAACCCATTTTTTACCTATTGGTCCTAGTATCATAGGCGACCGAACGGCCGCCCCCTAATTACTAGACCGACCTGCTGTAATAATTCCATAAACACCTAGCGAAGATATGGCAAACAAATAAAGTAGCCCTATGTTCAGATCTGACAATACCATACCATAATCAAAAGGTACAACGGCCCAAGCGACCAGACTTAACATAAATGTAGCCACTGGAGCCATTCTAAAAAGGGAGAAATTAGCACTACTTGGTGAAATAGGTTCTTTTAGAATCAATTTCGAACCATCTGCTAGAGGTTGTAACAATCCGAACGATCCCACTACATCAGGACCCTTTCGACGTTGCACAAAAGCCATTACTTTACGTTCAGCTAGCACTAAAAAGGCTACTCCTAGTAGAAGTGGTAGAATTATTCCAAGTATTTCAGCTGGAACAGCTATGTACGTTTTCGATTTTCTATTCACTCATGATCTGGCCTGGTCGACCCAATCATGATATTGAAGGATGGGACCTTTTCTCGAAAAATAGAAAGAAAAAGGAAGAAACGAAACATAGAACATAGAATGACAATTAGTTCTCGTTCTCATCCTCGATACACTCCGATATGATAGTCCTAATTGCATTTCTCACGCTCATATTGCCCCGCCCGTCCTCCTTGATAGCTGGAAAAACTCATACCATATTAGTGACCAAAACAAAAGAGCTTATTTATTTATATTTTTTATAAAAGGTAGCCAGTAGTTTCGGATCTGAACGTATTCGCGTAATCCAGTCTTGAATCTCATCCTTTGTATCTTCGGAGATACCCATATCATAGCTCATAATTAGATAGGCGGACTCATCATACAAGTCAGTGGCTGAGGAAATTCTCCACCTTGGACGGCCTCTCTCACAATAATGTTGTAATTGAGAGGCTACGAGCCTATGAAGAGACCTGAGAAGATCTCCCCGCTCGCCCTGTTCTTGAAGGAGGGGGAAAGGTGTATGCTGTGGCGCCGGTTGCTCAATTGGATTGGCATTTTGCCCTGGGATAGCAGACGACGGGCCAGCCCTGTTTTGATTTGAAGAGCCAGTTGGCTGATTCACGCTTGCTTCGGAGCTTTCCCCAGAGCTGCTCCCTAGGATAGATGTCCAGCCGGAGTTGCCCCCAGAAGTACCCTCACCGCCAGGGGGAACATTGTGATTAGCCGAAGAAGCTTCCCCGGAGCCGGCGCAGTGAGTTACTTCATGGGAATTGCGTATTAGGATCAGCACCAGAAAGATACGAGTAAATATGGTCCCGAGAATCTCGATAGTAGTTCTTCTATCGCCAAACCCTGTTTGCGGAAAATAGTAGAACCTCCACTTACATAAAGTCAGAAAGAAAGGCAGGAAGAAACGTAGAACCAGAGAAAAAGAGATACATGTTATATCGCCCGGCAAGTGTATAATTCCTTGCATCATAGGTGTTACTGCGTCTTGAAATCCTAATTGCCATGGTTCCGGAAAAAAAGATATTTCAACAGGATAAATTGTGATAAATAACCATTCTAGAATAATCATTTTTTTGTTTCATTTATTTGATTTTAACCATCTTCCTTCCTGGAGGAGTGAAGAAGTAAAGAAGACTTTGGTTGGTTGTTGACCAACGGAAAGAAAGCATGGTAGTAAGAAGGGATCAATCTCATCTCATAGTGCTAGGATGAAGAAAGGAAGGAAGAGCTCATCTTTCTACGCGGAGATCTTTCTTCTCTTATGATATTGTTGTTTTGTTGTAAACCTGAATTGAAAATCTATTTAGAATTAATAGGCTATATATGACTTCCATTTCGATCTTCCACCTTAACCCTAGTACACGGAACACCAAACGGAGACCTGCTTTTGAAAGCACTGTGGGCGAAGGGTTCTCAACCAATCTCGCACTTGACACGCAAAGCAAGAAAGAGCAGTCTATCTTCACAGAGAAAGAGAAGGATCTTCGGCAAGGGGTTCCCGCCTTCGCGAGACCTTTTCGATCTGCTCTAGGCTAAGCTCAATGGGGCCTTGCTTTGTTGATGCCAATCTCTTAGTCTGATTCAGATAAACTGTGAACCAAGACATGATGAAAAAGAACGAACTCAAAGCGAATTCTTTAATATGAGATCTTCTACCCGCTTGCTTCGCATAGGCTCCACAAGCTTCGGTGCGGTACACGGAACACAAAGAAAATCTTGACGAATAAGCAAGGAAAAGAAAAGATTCGACTTCGGATTCTGAAAAGAATGACTAGCGGCCCTTCTTCCTAATTCTATTCAATAGGAGCGGAGTCATGAACAAGAAAAGCCACTTCCTTATTTAATTTACGCTATTTATTGACGACTTTCTTCTCCTCGTTGGAAGTAGGAACGGCCTTTATCTAATCGACTATTGAACCATCTCGCCTGAAAGTCACTCGCTCTCCTCTTAAGTCATGCCTTTCCTCCAACGGCTAACTCGACGGGACTTGCTTTCCTAAATAAATTTATTTTTATATAAATTCCGTGGAAGCTCTCGTACTGTATCGATCGGTCATTCGTGAACTCTCGCATCGCATCTTTCTCTTTTGGTTTTTGAGCTTAGCTCATCCCGATTTCGTTTTTTTTCAATCGCGAGTTTATGGGGTCTTCAGTTTTAGGGTCACGATAGGTCCCTTCCAGTGCAAAAGATAGGCCAGGTGTAAAAGCACTTTGTGGAGTTGAGTTGGTACCTGAGAACTCCGCCGACACCGTCATCGATGCCGCCAGCAAGCTTCATGCTAAATGAGGAGCGGGTTCAGGTTCAGGTCCTCGAAAGAGAGCACGTAGGGGGGCGAATGAGGATTGGGGAACTGTTCGTGTAAAGCAACGAGCAGTCAGTGTTGAGCAAAGAACCGTCCGGGTTAAGTAAATAGTTCGTTCTCGAAGTAAGGCGACTAGCTCGTTTTCGAACTGGCTGTGTTAAGCATATGATTAAAGCCGTTCCAGTCCTCCATTCGTTGGGTGCTTCGTGGCCCTATCAGCTGGCTTGCCACTCAACTGATCCGCTTTCCGTTGTTAACAGGAAACGACTCCTATTCTCGAACGAACGACCTCCTTTCCTTCTGCCTAGGTCTGCTTCAACGAGCCTCGCTACTTCAAGGAATGGAAAGAGCCTTCCTGTCAAAGGCGGCCGGCCGAAGGAACCGCCTCGAAGAAGTTCTATACACTTGCTTCTCTTTTTATATGAAATGAATTTTTGATAATCGAAGAACATGTAATTTGATAACTTCTATTGTTGCTTTTTTAGCATAGCAGCAAGGTTTCTTATATAAAGATATAACCTAAATGCAGCCGTTATCTTTTATACGCGAGACCAAAAAATTTTCCCTCGTAAGGCCGACAACAAAGCATCGGAACAAGAGCTTCCGGGCACACACCTGGAACAGGCCTAGGAAAGAGATTGATGAGCTGAGAGGGATAAACCAAGATCCCTTCTCTGATTCTCGTAGGGGCAGGGGTAGATCAGGTGGTCGATTGTCGAGAGGAGGTAGAGGCCGTCGTCCTTCCTATCTGTTGTCTGCTCGGGAAGTAACTGAGGATGAAGGATCTCGCCCCCCTGCTTCATCAAGGAAGGCTTCCATGGTTGCTGCTCCATCTGCTGTAAAATGGGCGCGTGTTCAACACTTCCTTGGGTAAGTAAACCCAACCCTGCTAATGTGCTGGTTAACTCTGGTCCATCAGATCCTAAATCTACGCCTGCGATTAATGTAGAGCAGCCCACTAAACCACAATCTAATACGGGTAATTTTATTGGGCTAACCTCTTGAAAGATGGCGCTAAGGCAACAAAATTGTAACTGCAGTATTTGGAACCAGAAATTCTAGATGGGAAAACTATTGTGCGAATGCCATCAGAGGTTATTGAACAAGCGGACCCTAGATGGGAGGAATGCCGAGTTGGCAACCTTGATTTTGCCTAATATAAGTTTCACACAAGGAACCTCTTGCTCTTAAGGATAAACTACGATATTTGATGGACTGGCAGTTCAGCCATGTAATTTATCCCTCAAGCTGAACGAACTTGACCTGCTCCTTTAGTTTAGGGCTATAGAGTTTACTTGCTTCTCACTAACGGCAGAATCGTAAGCTTGATCACTCGACTCTAAACAAAAATAAAAAAACTCGGCTATAGGATGACAATCCTTCACTCCGGAAAGGTAGGTTCCATACCGACAAGACCTCCTATCCTAGAATAAGCTCATTTCACACCAAAAACAGCGGAACTTAATCACCAAGATAGAGTTGGGTAAAGCCCTAATGTAACTGAACGAAGTGGAAAACCCGCAATACGAGAGCAAAAACCTTCTGTGTGTAAGAGGAAGAGCAAGATCGAGTTAGGTAGGATGTAGATCGAACGCAATAAGCTACAGGAGTGATTATTTCGCTTTGGAAGGAAAAGAGCATCTCAAATAAAATAAGGTCCTCACTCAGCTCTCAGGCTGTCTGGGAATAGCTCCACCAGACAAAGAATAGGAGAAAGGAGTGTAGGATTGGTAAGCTTTGCCGGAAAGAAGCTACTCGACTAATTCAGGAGGCTACTACCGGCGAAGCTCGTTTGCTTCGGAGCGTGCTATTGCGTGAAGCGGAAAGGGGGCCTAGTCACAGCGCAAAGGGACAGCGGAATCCAAGACTATGGGGGATGGGCAATTGACTCTTTCAAGTCAGAGATGCGGAGTTTCCGGGTAGTCTCCGATATGGCTAATTAGCCCCTTAAGTCAGAGATGCGGAGTTTCCGGTGTCAGTCTTGCTTCTGCTGGGCTAGCTCTTCCCCGGGAGCTGACCCGAGAACTCTAACTTAAACAGCCTTAGTGAGTCTTCCATTGGCTAAGAAGCTCTTTTCGGCAACTACATCGTACCCTACCCCTACCCTAGATTATCCTATTCTTTCTCCTTGCTTTTCGATAGCGTAGTTTCGTACCCAAGGTAGTGCTAACTATCTCTCCTGCGCTAGTGAATCCTAACCTCTTATGCTTCTTCCGCTTAAATGATTTAGGAGTGAATACCCGGCGAAAGGCGATCCGCCAGCGAGGAATTACCCATAGACGGCCTTGGGCTTCTGTTCATGTGCATCCTCTTGCCTCTGGGTGGGATGATGCGCATTGAACTTGACTCCACCCATAGAGGTGCATAGCCCGGCGAAATAAGGTTTTACCTAAGGACGGTTGCTACTCGAATGCCTAACCTACTCGCTAACTCGAGTCCCAAAACAAAGGCAATAATCATTGTTCACCGACGGAAGCGAAGCAAGACGACTAGCTAGCCAACAGAGGCGTTAAGCCGCCAGAGGCCGTACGCTGACAAGCCCAATCCAACGGAAGGGAGCCTCTAACTTGCCTGACCAAAGGATAAGAATAGTTTTAGAAAAGGAAGGACTACGATCATCATCTTATGGAACGGGATTAGCTTTAGCGGAAATTTAGGCATGCCCTGCGATCAGCCTCAAGGCTAGGTTCAGGTCCGGCTACTACCGCATGGCCATGAGAGATCCGATTATGGATTTAGGATACCCTAGTGAACGAGGGGCGGATGCGCTTCTCTCTTATGGATAAAGAAAGGCAGGGATCACCACAACCTGGAGCTGTATAAGGGGGTTCTAGTTGTTTAACGCCCCGTCTAAGGCTCGACCGAGCTGTACAAAACAACGAACGCTATGAATGCATGGAGAAAGGCAAGACCCAACCCCAATCGGAAAACTTGATCTACTCGTTACTATAAGATATATTGAACCGGAAGAGGAAAGAGCGAGCCAAAGATCATAGCCAACTATGTATGAGCGAGTTGGAGAGCCTTGAATAAGGCAATTCGTATTGATTTATAATGGAATTGGTTTTTGTTCATTCTTCTATATTTGTAAAATGATGAAAATGGTTTCTCACTCGGAAGACAGCAATCAAAATGGGAAGAGTTTTCTCTCTTATGTGCAATTTCATTAAAACCTGTTCTCGATTGATCGAGTCTTTTTTCAATCCATTTATTTCACACTTACCGGTATTTTTTATTAAACCCTGTTTTTTATTGTGAAGGTAAGAGGGTGCTGTTATGGTAAGGCTTGAGAAGGTCAGGGACGGAGGAGTAGAAGGGGCTAAGAAGAGGAGATTAGTAACCAAGGACCTTAGACGATAGCTAGGAGATAGGGTTGGAGGTTCAGGTTGCGTCCCCTTGGTCCAGTGATTAACAAACAGCTTGGCTTGTTTACGCTTTTCAGACCGTGCTGGGCTGGGATCGTTTCATTCATTCAATATGGGCTATAGACCAGAAAGGATAGTGATGACGAGGCGGAGTGAAAGCCCAAGGCAAGTGCCAATTCATAAACACCGTAAGACAGACGAGATCACTATTACTCACATAATAGGAAAGGAAGATCTAACCAAGCGAATAAACGAAGGTTAGAAAACAACTTGAAGCTAAGACAAGGTGGTACGGGGCGGTGGTTCGAGTCCAAGTCGTGACAAAACAAAGGAAGAAGTAATAGTATAAAACTCTAGCCTAGCCCAGTGAATCAAGAGTAAACCACCACTAGCAATTGAATCAGTAAGCGCTTTGAACAGAATAAAGGCTGCTACTGTTATTGAATCAGCTGCACATGAATTTCACTCCATCAATAAGCCATGTAGGCAACTTAACCTAATTCCTTTGGAAAGGCTTTCATCGGCCTTTGGTACCTAGATATTTTCAATCCCCAATTCCCCTCGTACCAAGGAAGAGTTTTCTATCGACTATTCCTAGTGTCAGACTCGACAAATAAAGATAAGTACACGAAAAGGGATGAAAGACAGGACAAATGCCACAGAAAGAGTTGGAGCTGCTTGAGAATTTGCTTCAAAAGGCTCCGCGTCTACCACTCCTGAAGGCCAATGAAAGTTTTTTCTATCAAATGGGGTGATAGCAGAGAGATCAGAAGCGACGGTAGTGCTAATGCTAGCAGTAGCAATAAAATAAATAGCCAATAGCAGGAGAAGGGGAATGGATAAGACTAATTGACTGCCTTTTTTCGCTGGGAAGGAAAAATTCCTTAAAAAAAAAGGGCATTGGCGACCTACTACTAAATACTTTATTTGTGAATGGATTCACTCTGAACGGGTAGCATTCCGACTATCCTTAACACATTGAATTCTAGGGAGGAATTCTTTTTTTTCCGAACTGGAATTCCCTGAAGCTCCCTTGTCTGCCTTAAGCTGATGTTATGAACTCCATTGAGATGGAGGGAAGATAGATTCAGGCAAACTAGAAAGGACAAGAAAGACTAAGCATACTGACGAATAAGCAGATAAGAGTTGTTTAGCAGCCATATCAGAATCCAATAGCACTTCGTCTTCATGCACTTCATCTACTCGGACCAAGGCCTCTAGGCTCCCGACCCCTAGCAGTCTTGAAAAGCATTACCCGCAGCGAACAACTACAAGACAGCATAGGATCTCTTAGAGGCTTCGGCACGAACATAGACTTATAAACAGGCATAGGCTGATCTATCAGTTCCGCATAAAGATTCCGGACCGAGCAGCAGGATACTTTTTTCAGAAATGGATGGCTATACCCAGGAGCCGCTCGGGGCTCGATCTTCCTTGGCTTCGTTGCTCTTTTACACAACCATCTTCAGTCTTGACTTAGCCCTTTCAAGAGAACTCCCTTTGAGGCTAAGATCTATCACTAAGGCGGAAAGAGACCGACATCCAAGCGGAGCCATGCCGCTCAAGTCCCCGATTTCTTCTTTCCGAAGAGCAGACCTTGAAATGGGCGTTGTCGGGCGGTTTCTGTGCTCTAGGCATTTTCATGAGCCGATTCAAACCCAGTTCTCTCCCACAAGCGGATACGACTGACTTTAGCAATGACGAGACCCTTACATCTACGTCTCAGCTATGGAAGTTCCACTCGGCATAGCCAGGATGGAGCTATTCTGTCTGTGTCTGTGGAATTTTTATGCCCGCCCTGGATAAGTACTTCAAGCTAAGCCACTTCCCTCCCGCGGGTCTCCCCATCGCATCGGTCAAAATGCCGAGAGGAGGAGGACTCAGGATGCGAGAACCTGACGGAATGGACCCAAGATAGTGGTCCTCTTTTCTTTTCTTCGTGGCCAGAAGGTCGCCTCCTTCACTTCGTTCTTTACCCAATTCCATTCTGCAGCCAGATCAGCCTTAGATAAAGAGAAAGAGAAGAGGAATATTGAAGACTTTCCCCTATCAATCATAGAAGCCAGCTAGATAGGAAGAGTAAGAAGAGGAAGGAGAATATTATAGAACTAAAAAAGAAAGTCAGTGCGCACGGTACTTGACTCGGCACTCTTTCCTGAAGTCAATAATCAGAGTCAGCAGAAAAGTCACTAAAAGAATAGTCCATGGGAAATGGCACTGATTTCTATTCCTTTTCTTGAAGTGGTGGGGGCACTGAGTTTGAGTTCCTGCCGTTCCATCAGATGTTGCCGGGAAATCCTGCTATAGCTTCATCTTTTTTCAATAGATGATCAACCCGCTTTCGCGGAGGCTGAGTCAGTATCTGATCAAACTTTCTTTGGCCTCATCAGATGCTGTTTCCTAACCATCTGAAATCGAAGATAGGAAAGAGAGCTTGAACTGGACGCGAATCCAACTTCTGTAGCTTAATCAGTAAGTACCTGAGGACACCACTTTTGCTACCGAAGGGTATGGGCCCGAGTCGGGTGCGAGTCTTGCTGAACCGATTGGTACCACAGACGCAGGAGACAAAAGAGAGTAACCTATTGGCAAAGAAGCCCCCTAACAATAAAAAAAAGGAGAACCCATTTTTTTGTTTTCAAGGAAGATAAAAAAAGTGAGTGAAACCCGCAACGAAAAGGTTGACGGGAAAAGGAAAACCGAAGCGGTGACAATATCATCCTACCTTTCACCGAGCTTCCCTTCCTATTTCCTATTATCTAGGATATAGGATATCCAGGATCCCCCAATGATTTAGTTAGTTCTATCTAGGGAAAGCCCTTCAGTTCAGGTTAAGAAACTGATTCATCTAAACATTATGATAGGTATAGGGAAGCCCAATCTTCTAATTCTGGTTTGATTTTGGCAGGTCGAGCTCTAAAAGGGAAGACCAATGCCGTTCTACTCTGGATAGAGAAGAGCCAGCCTAAAAGAAAGTAAAAGACTGGCAACACAACCAACATACACGCTGACTTTTTGTTTTTGATAAGCTTAAGTCTTTCATACTTCCCGCCCATTTTCCACGAAAGGAAAAATTTCTGCGATTCTTGCTTAGTCAACTCAGTCTCATCCTGTCATTCGCGGTTCTTGCTTCACTTCATCTTGACGTGAGAATCAGACGCTTCAAAAAGAAAACTTGTATAAAATGGTTCTTTAGTCCGTCCGACACTTAACTTAATGTTTCGAAAAGACGAAGAAGAGCTTTATTTCCTGAATAGTCTGACCCGTCCCCCCATTTATTTATTTAAAAGAACCGGGGAGGACGCTGATCTTTTAGATGCTCTGACTTTGGATATTCTGAGCTCCAACTTAAGAGCTTCCAGGCCTCTTTTTTCTTTTGTGAGCGGCTGACCACCTGTTGTAGATTTCAATCTTCCTTACCATGGGGTGAGGACCTAGACCTCACTCTAAGAAGGAGAGCCCCTCAGCCAAGAAGAGCAGGCCGGGAAAAGTAGACCTATCAGAGTTTTCCGGACGGATCCGTTTTTATACCTATTGTTATTGATACCGCTCTTTCTAAATCGGATGTGAGCCTCTGTTCTACAGTAAAAAATCGTAACTGGTTTTTCTTCATTGAGGTCTTGACCTTAGGTCTTTCCCAATAACCAACTCTGGAGGGATCAGCCTATAGTTCTCTTCTTCTTGCGCATAGGGGTCTAGAAGATTCAGCCTCCATCGAAGGAAGGACGGAGGCAACTCCTCTTTCATCCTTTTTTGCTCTCCCCCGTTTCCGGTTCTAAAGAAGTTGAGAGAAGAGTCCACCTATAGTTATAGTAGTTATAAGCCCAGCTTCAATCGTCAGCAGGTGAGTCAGCAAAGTTCTCTAGGAAGTCAGCCCATTGCTTTGACTTTTAGCTGCCACTGCTTCATCGGATGTTGCCCTTGAATTGCTTTCTGTAGCCGCATCGGAGGATGTAATAGAAAAGTCTGCCACCGCTCCCTCGGAGGATGGCTCTCCTCCCCCTTTTGGACCTATAGATTGGTACCACACGAGACCGGACCCGTAGCCTGAGGTACCCATATGCAACGAAGACTTTGAATCGGATACTTATTATATGATCTTTCTTCCACTGCCAATACTACGAAAAAGAGTATAAGTAATAGCTTCAACAAAGCTCCGTTCCTTTGAAGTCTTTGTCTAGAACTAACTCGAAAAGTGAGCCCGGTCTTACTAAATCGTTTTCCGACTTGGGAAGAAGTGCCCCCGAAGCATTCAATTCATCTGGTGAAAAATAATGTCCTATCGCTTCATCTTCCGCTGCCCTTTGATTCTATTCAGTTGTCTTCCTTCTTCCCTCTATAGGTGTTGAGGAATGCCGATAGAACTGTGGATACCTCCGCTTTGGGAGATACCCCCGTTTTGGTCTTCCTAGCAGGTGAGGAGGCGCCAGCCGATGGTCTGGACTTTCTTTCAATTGAAAATCAGACAGTCTTTTCAAGAAAGCCTTCGTGAACTCAATCAAAAGAGCAATTCAAGAGACAAGCTTCATGTTCTCCTGCTCGGAGAATGGGTGCAGAAATGGTTGAGGAAAGGGCTTGCCCTACTGAAACTGAAGGAGAAGAGCAAAAACTAGAAGATGAAGATGGGCACAGGTCTTTCTTTTCTTTGATTGGAATTCTATTTTCTGGCAAGTAGGGTCTCGTGAATCTGTCTTTGATACACTTGAGATGGCTCTCCATCCAGATGTCTAATAATGGAGCACATCCTACAAATCGCCCTTCTTCCTCAGTTCTGAAATGATTCAAAGACCGGAAAGTCTCTGAAAGGATAACAGGTATGGGATTGACTCCATGCTTGAACTGAGAGAATAGATTGATAACCCGATCATCCACATATCCTAGAGCTTTAGGGAAAATCACCAGCCCGTAGATTGCTAAAGCCATCATA